GCGCGCCCGCCACGGCCCGCACAGCTGCTGCAGCGCCGCCGCCATCGCCGCTCCCCCTCCCACCGCGGGGAGGAGCCCCGCCCCCTGCCCAGCAGTGCGCACGCGCACGGGTGCTGCGCAGTAAAGCAGGGCCCTGCAGATACGTGGGAATCCCGCGCTGCGCACCCGCTGTGGCGGCGTACATCTACTTGGGCGTAAATTTCCTACTTGCGTGGTGGCAGATTTGCGCCCGAGCAGTTTGCTACGTGCATGGTAACAGCTTTACGCCTGAGGGGTTTGCTACCTGCATGGTAGGAAATTTACTCCTGATGCAGGTAGCAAATTTATGCCTGAATAGTTTGCTGCCTGCATGGTGGCAGATTTACACCCGAGTAGTTTGCTATGTGCATGGTAGCAAATTTACGCCTGAATAGTTTGCTGCCTGCATAGCGGCAAATTTACACCCAAAAGTTTGCTTACATGCATGGTGGCAAATTTACACCCAATAGTTTTCTACATGTGTGGTGGCAAATTTACGCTTGAGCAATTTGCTACGTGCATGGTAGCAAATTTACGCCTGAGTAGTTACTGCACGCTAAAGCACATGTAAATACCTTCCGGCGCAGTAACCTTCCATGCATGGACTGACTTGGGACAGGTATCCGGGTTGTAGCTGTATTGGTCTAGAGCAGCAGTTCCCAAACTGACAGATTTAAAATGATACGACCTTAAGGACCGCAAGCAAATTTTTGTCATATAAAGTAATTACAATGCATCTGTTAACGTGCACCACTGACAGGGTGTCTGCGTACCACTGGTGGCACCTGCACCACAGATTGGGAACTGCTGGTTTAGAGGAAAAACCAATCGAGACTTGTAGTAGAAGTGATATGTTTTATTAAACATAGATTTTTGCAATTTTTTTTGCAAAAATCTAGTTGGTTTAATAAAAGAGATCACCTCTACCACAAGTCCTGACTGACTTGGGAGGAACTTTAGTCCCAAGTTGGTGTGCACACACTGTTACTGTGCTGTAGATGCTGGTGTAAAAACCACAGTAAATTACTGCGCAGTAAATGCACGTGTAGACACACCCATACACTCCTAGAGCAGAGGGGCTGGATGAGGCCTGCAGAGGTCCCGTGTAGTCCAGCTCCTGGCCTGAGGTAGGATGGGCTCTGTCCAAGTCATCCCAGACAAACCCATCATCTCTTTTTGGAAAATGCCTATCACGCCTGACGAAGCACCAGACATCACACCTGACCCCACTGCAGGCGAAGCAGGGGGACCGCAGTGGCCAACGTCCTGCTGCTGTAAAAGGCTCGTAGATGCTCAAGAGACCCCAGGTAGACGCCTCACCCCAGCCAGAGGAACGCAACCCCCCAGTCAGTCCCAAGCCGCCCAGGAAGGAAGATAGATCCCTTCCTGACCCCCAGTGGGGCATCGGTCTGACCCTGGGTGGAAAGGCAAGACCCTCTCGCCAGGACCCTGCGGGTTTAAGTGTCAGCACTGCATGGGGATGACTTTGTGCTCTACCCAGTGGGGTGTCGCTGAGGTTTTATGCCGTCCCCGGCAGGGTGTCGCTGAAGTTTTATGCCCCTCCAGTGGGTGCCACTGTGGGTCTGGGCTTGGGGCAATGCGGCACTTGCTATTGTTGCACGGTGACAACCTAGAACGCCTAAGCGGCGGCAGTTCTATGCCACCCAAGGCCCTGGCTGGGACCGCCGTCTCCATCCTTCCCTTCTTCAGGCCAGGGGTGGGAACCAGCGCAAGCCTCTGATGCACTAAGAGCATTTGTGGGCCAACAATGGTTATCCCCAGCAGTGAGTACAGTGCTTATTTTCTTATAAATCTTGTAGTACCTCTCCCCACCCCTTGAAGTATTGAATGACATGACGAGAGCAGACCAGTGACCAGCAGCTGAGATCAGCTGGAAAACGGCAATACTATGCTGCCATCAGCCTTCCTATGTAGCACTGCTTGATATGAAATGCAGTTGCTGCTACCCAATATAATAGCTCTGACCTTGGGACAGACAGTCCACCTCAGAGAAAAATTTGGAAGGCTGTGGTAACAAGCAATGACCCAAAGAGGCAGTGTTTCCATCTCCAGCAGTGGTTCCCAAACTCGGACTGATTGCGCACCGCCCATTTACGATACAACCCTCAGGACCACCAGCAAATTGTTCAACACCTTAAGTACCACCAGCATATTTTTTGTCGTGTAGTTAAAATAAATCTATTAACACGTACCCACGGACAGGTTGTCTGCGCACCACTGGTGGCACGCGTACTGCAGATCGGGAACCGCTGAGCTACGGTTTTATCTATGTAAGATTACGCAGGGTGGGGTATAATTTTATGTATTGGCTTGAATTAAGAATGATAAATCTTGGTCGGAAGGTATTTGTTAGTAACAGCCACATATTTTAAGATGAGAAGGGACCACTGTGACAATTGATGCTGCGCTCCTACATAATAGTCAGAATATGCACAAGGCAGCCCCCTGGGTCAAGCCCATAACTGGCCTTTTTCATGCTCTTGCACTTGCAAGAGCTTATTCCAAGTAGCTTAAAGCAGTGGTTTCCCTTGGTGTTGTGTCTTATCCTTACAAGCACCAGGCCTCTGCACATGTAACACAGGGCAGACAGGACTTTGACCAGACGTAGTGCAGCTAAAGACTTCTACGCTGACTGCATTTAAGATCTCTCTGGTATGACAAGCTAAATGAATGCTGCTGGGATTTCTGATCTCTTTTATTAGACCAACATGGCTACAACCTACACCCCTGCTGCTGGGATTTGAACCTTACAGCTCACGGGCTTGCCTGACTGATTTAATGAAAGATGGCTCATTAACACCGGTGGTCTCCAGAGCACAGCTTCAGGGGAACATGTACAAACGCCTCCTGCCCCATGCTGCTTGCTGCCTCAGAAATTAAAGATATAGTAGACAGGGGGAGCTAAGTATGACGTTGCCCCCCTGAATTATTTGCTCAGTACTGCTGTGTGCATGTGGGCCATCAAAGGTTAGGGACTATGGTTTAAACCAATTTAGTAAAACCAATGCAGAAGCCTGTTGAGCACTTTCAATTGCATCTGATTTCAGCTACACTGGAAATGAAAAGCCCAATGCATTCACCCTATTTTGCTAACATGCGCTGGTATATGTTTGTACAGAGCCAGCTCCTTTTATGATTTAAAGCTGCAGCTTGTTCTCAAAGCAGACATCAGAATTACTAGCTTTATAAGATTAATTAAAGTTGGGTGTCACTCAAGTCCCAGCTTCAGACTCACTTGTGTGGACCTTAAACGGGTGAGAAGGATACAGGGAACAGAGGGGAAAGCAGCTCTCCTATTTAAAAGAAGGGCATGCGTGATTAATAATAAAAAGAAAAAAATCACAGAATTGTTTAGTATTATTTGTAGTGGAATAGCTCCTGACAGGCTCTAAACAACATGCAGATTGCCATCCCAGAGTTTTTTTTTTTATCAATTTGCTTTTGCTTTTCAGGTTGGTTGCCTCTCTACTTTGGGAGCATAGGGCTGTGCTATATCTTGCTTTTCACTTGCATGTTTCTCTTGCACTGGAGGAAAGTTATCCGGCGGGAGCGACAAGCCAAAGCGTGGGTTGAACTGGTGAAGAGTGAAATGTTCTTTCCCAACCCAGTAGTTCACTGGGCTGACAAGAGAGTCAATTATGGGATTAAAGCAGAAGTGTACGCACCTGAATCCAGTGCCAGCACAAAGCAGGCAGGCAAAAACTCTGCCAGAGATGACACGGATGGGGTCTTCGTTTCTTCCCAGGTAGAGGCGGATCCGTGCAAACTGGTATTTCAGGAATTGCCTTTTGTTCGCTCGCTCTCCAGCCTGCCACCAATGGTCAGTCACTCCATCTCTTACCCCTTCCCGGCCTTTCCATCCAGAGCGGTTCCGTTCACCTCTCTTCCTGACCTGGATAAAGTAGAGGAGAGCTGGCACTTTGGCAGCAGCTTGACTTCTGAAATGTAACTAGGTCATGACCCACAGCAGACAGCAACATTAAATAGAAGAGCTTATATATTTTAGGCTAACTCAAATAAAACAAGGTGTTTCCCAACCTGCCTCGAGTGCCTTTTTCTCATGCGTGATGCACAGAAAATGTGCGAGTACAGCCATAAGAGAGCAGCCTTTTGGGGAAGAAAAACCAGAATTGCTCCACTTTCAACTTCTGTTAGGGAGAAACCTGGTTAATAGTAATAATAAACAACCCATTGCTCCATTCAGTTCACCAGGCAGGTTGACACCACTGAGTAATACAGGATGCTCTTTTTCTTATTTCCATGTCTGTGCAAGGCCCTGCATCAAAATAGGAATTGAACTGTGAATGGCATTCCCCCGCTTTTCCATTCTTCTCCTTCCATCCTAAATCACCAGCATGTCCAACCATAGCTGGAGCACAGTTATAATCTATACCTGCACCTTCTTTTGTGCCGTGAGTTCATTTTTAAACCATGGGCAAAAACCGGTCTCCCTAATTGTGGCTATAATAATCAATAGTTCCATTATAAACTTGAGGCTTTAATCAAGTCAACTGCAGAACTCCCAGCACAATAGAGACTTTTCTTTTGATATTATTCAACCTCCCACTTGAGCTGGGGAAGTGCTTCCACCACCAAATAAGGGTAATTAAATTACTGTTTGATCCAAGCTGAATTATTTCTTGTAGATTTTGGGAGATTTCCTGAGTTTTTCTGTCTGGCCTCTCATCCAACTGGAGTTAAAAGGTTGATAGTTTTGTCCATGTAAAAAATATAATTGCTTTTATGAAAAAAAAAAAAAGTGTCATAACCTTTTTCTATCCTATTCAGGAAGGAAAGCATCTGAACCATCAGCTTTCTAATCCATGCAAAGGGCATTCCTTTGACTTTGCCTTCAATATCAAACTGCAGCAATAAAATTAAATTCTCATCATTTTTCCCTTGAGAGGAAAGAAGAGTTACACATGAGCACCTGTCACATTGCTTAGCACACTTTTGGAAGTCCCTTGGACAGCAAGGTGATTAGTAGGGTATAAAAACCCTAACTGAAGTTTCATTGCAAGGACCCATGTCCTGATGCTGCTGATAGCAAACTGAAGCTGATCCAAGTCTGTCTTCTCCCTCCTGAGAAGTGTTGTTTGATCCATTGCCCACTGCTGTATTACCTCCCCACCACCCTAAATGACCAAATACACATAAAAAAATGAAAATATTTTATTCTGATTAAACAATCATGTTATATGACGCCATGTGCAGAACTCAGTAGCTAAAACCAGCTTTGATTCATTCCATATACAGATCTAAAAAAGCCCCAATACATTACCAAAATAGGTCCAAATGTAGTCAAGTATAAGCAACATCTCTTATTTTACGGGAATGGTCACTAAAATAAAAAAAAAATGGTCCATACACAGCATTCAGTCTCAAAATCTGAGTTTAGTAAATCAAAGTTTTAAAACAGATTAGCAGGCAAGAGTACAATGTACGTGAGGGGGAAAAATGAACAAAAAAAAAAAAATCACATCTTGATAGTTAATTAACTAGAATATGACATTATAAAATAGGCCTTAAGAATCCTGGACAATGACTTGCTGTCCCAGTATTATGGTGCTAATTGAATACTGGAACAGCTCACAGATTCTCAAATGAATAATAAACAGGGGAGTTTACATCTGTATGTTAAGGTGAAATTTTAAGAAGTCCATCTGAAAGTGCTGCACCTTCTCTCCTGCCCTTTCATAGCCTCCGCGAGCTTAGAAGCGACTTCGTTCAAGTGCCCCTTCTCCAAAACAAACATCCTGGCTGCCACAGGTTTAACCCACCTCTGCTTCTCCGACTCAACCCTTTGTTTCTTGGATTTCTGTTAATATACGAGCACATGCCATTGGGGCTTCTGTGGTAGCATCTCCTTTAAAGATCTGAATCTTAGGTTAGATCTGTGCAAATGCAAGGCAGTGCCAGGCAAGGACACCTAGAACCACAAACAGTATAGTAGTGCTAGCTGAGACAGCACTGCAGGCTTAATTAGTTCTGCAGGCCTTAATAGCTCCGACATAACTTTATACAAATGTAGCCATGACACTTCTGGTTCCAGAACTAGCACAGACTGAGCTGGTTCATATCCTGACATGGCACCACTTTATGTAATAAAGATGTCCCTAGGGACCACGGATGGTTTAAATGAGGAAGAACACCACTGAAGTCCATGGAGTCACCACAGTGAGCAATTAAAATAGAACCCCATGAAGTTTTCCCATGAACTACCTGGAAGAGCTTGTCCCATGGCTGACAGAATGAGAGTTATAAAACAAAGCTGTTCCCTGCTATAGGTACACTAGACCTTCTTCTTGAATTCGTGCGTGTGCGCGCGCATGTAGACCAGTCATCAGCTTTTAACCCAGTCACCTTGACCCCACTCTAAGCAGGTCTATGACAGCAATTAATGCATCTGCAGAAGTGAGTGCCCTTTCAGCACCAGCGTAGAAAAAAGGGCCATTAGTGAGAGCCTCACTAGTGCCCCACTTCAACCTCGGCAGGCTTGGGGACTGATAAAGCAAAGGACAACCAAAACAGCAGAACAAATCTAAGCAGCTTGATACTAAGCAGTACTTTGAGGTTAGGACATGACAGATTGCCTGCTGGCCAAAATTAAATAAAATAAAGCAGCTAGTCATCAAATACAGTAATTCACTATTACTTTCACATGATCCTATTTCATTAAATGTATTATCAAGCATCCATTCTATGATTCCCCATTAGGCTGAGTGACAATGCCAGTTAAATGAGTTGTGAGGCAGCGCTATGCACTCAAGATGCACATGAATCCACATTCTTAAACAGTCTCACATCCTAGCACTTCAATAATTGATCATTTCAGTCCCATAGGCACACAGAGGATGCAAAACACCAGAGCTGAGATGCGCACACTGGTCTCCAAAGTAAGATCCGTTTAAGGAAGGGTACAGGCACATGAACAAGTCATCATGAGATAAGAGGGGGGTGGGGACTTCCAGCATCTGAGCTACTCTGCTGGTATCATTCATGTACAAGCTCTTATCCACCGCAGATGCAAGTCAGGCTGCTCCTCAATGAACAGAGTAAATTGCCTTGTATTTAATGTGGGAAAAAGAGCATGTACACTGGTGGTTACAGCAGAGCTTGTTTCTTAAGAATGTGTGCCCATACCCCAATACTCCCCCTCTCTCTCCCCCACCCCCCTGTTACTGCAAAATTAAAAGCAGACAGTAAAATAGAACATATTTAAATTAATGTGGTAACGAGGCAATCTCATAAAAAACAACATCACTTTACATTGTTTTATACAAATCAGCCTTCCAAAAAATACCTTGCAAATTCTGACATACAGCTATGATACAATATGTACAAAAAAATTACCAGAATGGTTATACTTTATTGCTTGTTTTTTTGTTTTGTTTACGGATTTTTTTTTTTATTTGGTTCAGGAATTCATACAGACATGTATAAGATGGTATGGAAGCTACTGAGAAGGAAGTGTTGGTTTCTGGCTATATTTAAAGCCAGATTATACTGTATTTCAAATCTTCACATCAATGACAGCATCTTCTTGCTGGGCAAACCAAGCCTAGAAGAGTGATGGCAAAAGAAGCTTAGACAGCCTATAAAAGGGTTCAATTTTGCAAGACCTTTTGCTGAAGAATATTTCCAGACAACATTTGTAAAGCTATAATCATCCCATTCAGAGTCCCATAAACTAACTATGAACAGGCTTCCATATACTGAAGTTCTGTTGATGTGGACAGTTTTAGTCCATTAAACCTACATTCAAATGACAGACAATAAGATCTGTATTATACCTGTGGCCAATGAAGTCTAACTTGTCCCTGGCTGGACCTACAGAAGAATACATTTGGCAAAAGCCTTGTTATAAGTTTCAGAAGTTTCTGAATACAGACAGGCTTCAAGTTTAGATTCACAATATTTACAATGCGAACATACTAAGTGTCCACATGAAAAGGAACATAGTGTTTCATGAGTCAAAGGTGTAGCTGCATAAAAAGACACTTAATTTATATTGCACTCATGGGTCCTATCCCCTTCCACTGCACCTGTCCTTTGACTTCTTTTGAATAGTACAAAAAATACAGTAGTTTTAGATGCCAAGAACTATTAACATTCACAATAGGCAGGAAACTGCATTTAAGTTCTCTGCCGGAGGTTTTTCCCATCTTGTTCATGACATGGAATCACGAACAGCCTTGTTTAAGAAGGCTGCTCTTGCCCATGGATGCATTAGTAAGGTGAGGAGGAAGAGACTGGCAGTGTCAAAAGCCTTGTTAAAAATTTCTGACGAGCAGTCAGTGGGACCTTGTGACCCTGTCACATGTACAGAGGGCAGGAATGTGAACTTTCCTGCCATGATGGCAGTCAACTGCAGCTTCTGAGAACAAGATTAGAGCAAAAAGTTAAAGTGCCAATTAAAATGTTTCAGTAGATTACCCTCCCTCCATAAAGTGTAACACTAGGTGCAATACAGCAAAGTGAACGAGAAACTCTGAAGTGGATCACAAGAAGCTACCCTACCTAGTGCTCTTCAGGTCAAAGAAGAGAGACAACTGTTCAATCTCTCCCTCACCCCTTAAACATTCAAGCCCTCTATTAAACATGACATGTCATGCCTTGGATCTGCTGCAGTTTGAGATCAAACCCACCTGTGAGTGCAGACAGCCAAGGGTAGAATCAGCTCAGAAATTAAATTCCAGGGGCACCTGAAATACTCTCGGCCACACAAGTTATATTGTATTTTTAGGTTTTAAACAGGAGCATGTTTATTACCAACAAAGCCTCAACACAAACTTCCCCTAAAATATGCATAATTTATTCCATTTCAAATATTTACAAGCAGAAAAAGCCCATCTTTAAGACAGATTTCTTCCCGCTCCATATAAAATGCAGCTCTCTCATTTAAGGCAAATTTATGTGAAATATAAAACATGGGTTTGTCTATCTGTACACAAGTTCTAATTTAAAGACAAAAACTCCCTTTTAAAGAAGGGAAAGATGAAGTCAGGCAGCAGTTCCTAGTGTAGTTTGGGATCTTTCTGGATTTTTTAAGGAAGTCCCTACCAGCCATTATGCCATAGATAACCTTTTTCAAGTTTTTAAATACCTTAAAAGATTGCAAATTAAAAAGGTGGCAATGTGTACACTAAGTTAGCGCCAAAGATTAGTAGAACACCGAGAAAAGTGCAGATGTAGCTTTTGCTTATCCGTTTTCAAAAGCTACAGCAAGTCCACCAATACTGCATTTTTAAATATATGTAGGCTATACACCTAAAGCTAATCTCAGTTCTGGTAATGAGTATTTTTCATCCCCATCTGTATCAAATTCCTTAAAGCTCTGCAACTCTTGTATTGCAGAGCCAACCAGACTTTGAAGATCATCATAGGTTAGCTTTCCATCCGAGTCGCGATCCAGCTTTTTAAACGAATCCAGAAGATCTGCAAAAAGAACGAGTTAAGGATCAGGCACTTCAACTGCACAAAGAGAACTGTACAGACTCTTGCTCCAGTTTCACTACATTATACCATACTAGTTTACAAAACTAAATAAAGCGTCTTATGATGGAATTTGTTCATAAGCTGGGCAAAATAAAAACATCAACAGTCACAACATGTAGATCAGCAACTTTGGGAATTTAAAGAGCAGGATTCAAAGCAAAGACCTGTGGATTTTGTTCAGTTAAAACCCACCAAGTAAATCTAAATTCAAAAGAAAATAATTATTATTCCTAATCAGATGTTCTGACCCAACCCCTGAAAGTAAACATTGATAAAAATGAGGACTTTGCCTTCTACGACAGAAGCCCTGAGGTTATTATATTGAAGATGTAGATCACATGGAAGGATGAGTATTTCTATTGTGCTCTACATATTTTCTGAAGAGCTAAAATATTACAGGCATGCCAATTCAAGCACTGATTAGATCTAGAAACCACCAGTTCCATCTGCTAGCCATTTCTCTATTCTAGTTGCCTCCAGCTCCCTAGATATCTTTACTCCTTGCTACCTTTCTCTTCTCTGCCATGACAGCCCTTCAAATCCCAAATAGGCTTCAATTATTCTGTTTACACCTTCCCTTTCAGAACTACTGTTCCATATTCTGCCTCATCCTGGTTATACCAGACCTTAGGTAGCTATGGATGTGCTTTTATAAGTCATGAGGCACTTTACTTACAGGAAGTGTTTATGAAAATTAAGACAAGGCTAAAACAGACATACCTTTTATGCTGGAAATTCCTGGTAATGATAAGAGCCTTGCCTGTCCATTTTCTTCCATGTTGCCACCAACTGATCTCGATGAAAGTCTGGGAGGATCTGTAGGATCTGATGGAGTCTGAGCTTTTCCCACTATTTAGAAATTTGTTTGCATTAGTCTTTTTATTTTTAAGAAACTAAAAACAGCAATAAATTGGGAACAAGATAGCTTGGCAAGCCATACATACACACACATGTACGTGTACACACACACCACCACATATGAAGGCCTCTCGTATTTAAAAATATAAGAGGCCTTCATATGTGGTATGGAACAAAAGAGACGAGTTTGTCCATCTTAGCACGGATTTGTTATACATGTTGAAGTCTCAGTAACAGAATAACCCAAACAAACTGTTCTGGAGAATATCATTTTAGTATATTTTGTTAGATTCTTTCATAGTTTGTAATGCTTCATGCTATACAAGAAACATGTATTACTATGCCATGTACTGATAACAAATACTTTGTAATACAACAGGCTCCCTAGGTGAATAAGATTTTATAGCCATCCACTTCAGGCTGCCTGCCTGTACAACATGTAGTGACAGGTCTAGATAAAGACAGGACTGCTCTGATCTGATATGGCAACTCCTGTGCACACTGCACAATATTTTGTGACTCATTTTACCCAGTAAATGAGAAGACAGCCTCTCTGGGTCAACTTGATCAAAATCTGCAGATCTGCCAAATAAGAATCAGCAAGATTCTGCAGGGAAGGGCAGAGCCTTGATCCATAAAACATGTTGGCACTGCCCCAGGCTAGAACAGCAAAGACGGAAGGTCAGGATACAGACACACCAGTCAAGTTGTAACATTTCCCTGCATTATGCTGAACTTCATAGGTGTGCTATGATTTATTGACCCAGCATACTTATTAATTCTAACCTTCCTTATGAGCCAGAGCAGTAAAAATGACTTCAAGACAGTCTGACAGATAATTAAAACCTTAACATTTCAGTCCATGCCTGTATGTTTCCATAATTATGTTTATGTACAAAAAGTCAAATGCTCTGCAGCATATTAGGGATTCTGCTAGGCACTACTTGAAAAGCCCGTTTCTTTTCTCAGTTTGTCTCTGACCAAGCAAGAGTTTAAGTGCCATCAATTTCTCACTACTTAAAAATTAACACATTGAGGCCATTTGAGCAAGATCCTACGAAAACACTGGGTTATGCCTCTCCTTTACTTATACATAGAGCATACGGTGAACTTTCAGTTGTATGGGTTACTATTACACAGAAGAGTCTCACCATTCACTGATGCCCCAAGAGGCTTCTCGCTTTCTGGTTTGCTTGTTAGAGCGTTGATCAGCTGAAGCTTCTCTCTCAGATTTTCAGGTATCGAAACCTGAGTTTCTGTTTCCTGCTTCTTAAATAAAAAAACCCTTTCTTCAACAGGTGCAGCATAGCAGGAAAGACATTGCAACAGATTTGTGTACTTCTGAGTTATTACCATACTTTCAGGTCAATTAAGTTTTAGCTGCTTAAGACTATAAATCTTCCAGGTCCCATATCAGGTCTTAGCATAAAAAGAACAAGCGCACACAGTTTCAATGCATTCTTGGTTTCTAAAAGAATAGCCAGTTAACATCTAATGCTGATTAAGTCTGACCTTTACTGTTTCAATGTAATATGCAGTAACCATCTGGAAGATTAGTGGAGCTGCAGAGAAAACAAAACATTTGAAGTAGTTCTCAGCATGTGTGCAGCACTTATTTGCGTGGGATGCAAGACCTGGGTTACTAAGTCACTGTGAAGTGCCTGCATTGTACTCTCTTTGGAGTTCCATTTTTTGCAGCCAACATCCATTGTACTCATTATTTCACAGCACACATGGGCTTCAAGTTGAAATTACTCAGTTGAACCTGGGATCTTGCTTAACATCCTGTCAACTCACTAAACATTGTAGCTGATGAAGTCATTGTAAGACTTTAAGAATACTTAGATTAACTTTTGCAATAGCATCCCACTTAGCGTACTTATTTATTTCCCAAGTCTCCTTCAGCTGTGACATCCTTGTTGAGCACAACTTTTGTGGTATGTTATAAATAGAGAGGAAATAATGAGGGCTAGATCCTGCAGCTCTTCTTTATGTATGTACTCCTACAGGAGAATTCAAAGTAGCAAGACCGCCCATTAAGTTTTTTCCACCTCAGTTTGCTTCCCGCCTACCCACTGGTGTTGGCAGGTTGCTTACCTGTCACATTTTCATTAGCAGTATGTATTGAGATCTGACTGATCCAAATACCTATGCCAGAGGATGGCAACCTTTAAGCAGTAGCAGGCTGAATTAACAGAGCTCAGGCTAAGGTGAGGTACTACATGCCACCACCATTCTAGCCTTATGGGCTAAATAAAATCCCCTTACAGGCCAGTTCCTGCCCACTGGCTGTAGGCTGCAGTTTATTTTCAAATAAATCGGATTTAAGCATCCAGTGCTGTTGGGTCTGCTAATCTTTGATTTCAGTTTTCCTTTTTACCTTTGCATTCTGTGCTTTATCTGAATCCGTTCCATTTGCTGACTGAACTTCATTTTCTACTTTAGGAAAGGTAGCTGCATCATCCACCTGCAGGGAAAAAAAAAAACAAGGAAATCAGAAACTGACATACTTGGTTGAGGTCTTCTGTAATGCTTTTTGCTTTTTTCACACTGGACAGGAACCTGCAGCTGTATAGACAGGAAACAACATATAATGTACAGGCTGGAATCAATTCAAAGCTGCAGAAGCACAATTCTGCTTCCAGGGGTGTAGGTTGTGGCCGTGTTGGTCTAAGGACACAGGCAGACAAGGTTCTTTGTATGAATCTGATATCTTTTATTAGACCAACTTAAATACTTGGAAAACAATTATTAAGCAAGCTTTCGGGTTCAAAAACCCTTCGTCAGGCTAAGGAACTTTCAGCAGTTGGTGTGTGCTCTGTCTGGATGGAATGAAAAGTAAAGAAGCCAGAGGCTGGTCCGGCATGCATACAAGACAGGTAGTCAGTGAAAGTGTATGACTTAACATTAATGGGACAACTAAATCTCTACACGCTGTAGCATCAGTATATCCTTTGCTGCATAGTATACAGAATACAAATTGTAAGGAACAAGCCCCTCAAAGTGTCTACTTCGGACATTTCTTTAAGCTTGGCATTTCCCAGTGCAGCTGAAGGCTTCGCTAGCCTCTCACAGATGTGAAAATGCTACACAGGAAGCAAACTCAGCTATTGAAACCCCTATATGACAAGCAGGCACCTGTGATAACCGAGCACTCACCGAACTGATGGATGAATTCTCTCTCTTTTCCAGTTTATTTGCAGCATCCAGGTAGTTTTCTAACAACGCAACCCTTTGAGTTAGATTACTGATTGCTGAATCCACATTAAGAAACTTTAGGTCGTTCTGCTTCTGGTACACCACTAGGGTGGTATTTATCTCCTCTAAAGTGGTATGCAGGTATTGGTTATCCTGAAATAAAAACCACAAGCTGTTGTCCACAAGTGACTGTTTAGAAGCACTACAACATTATTTCAGCTAGTGAAATCTTAACTGCCCCAATTTAATCCAGCAGACTTCTCTGACTAGCCTCAAAGGCAAACTGTTTTGTATTCAGTACTGGCTTGACTCTTCCTGACCATCAGAAAGTGACTGTAGTCTTCATAATTCGAGAAGGATTTCTCAGTGCTAAGATAATTGCTGACAACAACAACAACAACAACAAATAAAAGATGATTACAGCTGCCTGGAAATTAAAGTATGTTAACCTGTTTTGGGCTGGCTTCATTAGGACCATTACCCATAGGAACTGCGTAGCCAGACTTTGTGCGATGGGAAGAGCTTTACAAGACTTTCCTTTGACATCAGAACTGCTTGAAATTATAAACACATGCCACATAAATACAATGGATCCACTCCCATTTAAATTTATGTACAATTCGCTCTTTTCTAAACCCTTGTTTCCACAGCTTACCTCCAGAGCGATTCATCCACACACCACTCCTTTTACTTAATTTGACAGGCAAGCACCTACCATTAAAGCTAGTTCTATTTTAAAGTCTTCAACTCAGTCACAAGTCTCACAAGAAGAACAGGATGCACTATTGAGTCTTTCTAATACACCCACCAAGTAAAACAATGCAAAACACCACTTAATTGAGCGCTAAGACTCTTCTCCACTTAGAACAGGTTTTCTACATATATAGGAAAATCCTACAGTAAGATCCTTTATTTGGCGCTCTCAGATGCTATTCAAATTCAACCTTGACGTGAACATAATGCACAATATCACCACAGTGAACACAAAGGTTAAATATCACCAGTAATTAACAGTTGCAGAGCTGCTGGCATTTAAAGAAAGAAATACCTGCTTGCACTTCCCAGTCTGATTTCTATCGTTTATTCTTGGTGTGACAGTGGAAGAAAGTGAAGACTTCTGTTGTTTTTCTCCATTCTCTTTTGTGTATTTATTCTGACCCCCCAAAAAAGGAGAAGGCATGTTAAACAAATATCTTGTTACATCAACTGAATTCTTGAGGGAAAACAGCTTATGGTATGTATTGATCAAATACCCAATTAAAGTAGAAAACAACAACATGGATATTGGAGATTTGTCTTTAAGCACACAACTGGGATGACAAGCTCAACCTTTAACTTAATACAAGTGAAAGGAAATACCAACAAATTAAATAACCCTATGAAAGTTACTCACTTCTGTGTTGACTAACAATCTCCAGAAAGTTTCTGGTCTGTGATCAATTTTTAGTTGTGCATCTTGATTTGGGCCAGAAACCCCCAAATAAACCTCACAGCACTTTCCTAGTATATTCACAACCCCCTGGTTCTTGTGCAAAGCATCTCTATAATTGTCCTTTGCACTATTCAGAAGGGGCAGAGAACCTTCTGAGACCCGCTACCAAAGCAATGGGAAAGCAATTATTTCAGATATGGCAACCTGAGGGTAAGCGCCAGAAATACTGGCCCTAACAGAAATAAGTTCTTGTAGCTGTAGCATTAATGCCATATGACTTCTACTAGCTATTGTTGTATTGTTACGCTTACACAGATCTTTAAAAATATTACACAGGTTAGACAATACTGGATACCATTTAGGGGTGCACCGATATATGTTACCTATCAGATCAGCACTGATAAAAGGCGAAATTATGTTATCAGTTATTGGCTTTTTTTGGTTGCTGCAGCCAAAATGATGGCTGTGTCCAGAGCACCCCGCTGAGCACAGTCCAATCCTCGTGCCCCACAGCTGGGCTAGGCCCACGATGGACTACAGGTCCCTGTGAGGAGCAGGAGGGGGCACCATGCTCAGCAACAAAGGGACTGCTACCAGCTCCTGCTGCTGCTGCTGCTGCTATGGCAACACCGCGCGAAGCAGGGGTCTGAGCACTGGGACTGCCACAGAGGCACTGGACTATGCGCAGGTGGAGTAAGGTGCTGTGTGAGGGACATTCTGCTCCACTGGGCACCTTTGCAAAAGTGGCTTCTCCCCAGCAGCTGATGGCGCTGAGGCAGCAGCATGCTCTGGGGCTCCAAGTGTGCCCGGCACCGCTGTGTGCATAGTTTAAAATGCCTTGCACTATCACTAAGTGTTATTTTTTTAATGGGCTTTGGCTGAGGTGGTTGGTTAATTATCGGCCGTCGGCATTGGCCAAGAAAATCTTGATCGGTACACCCCTAGCACTATTCTTATTAAGAGCTATTTCAGATTACATTGCCAATTTTAAGTTACACAGCTGCTCTCCTAAATTAGCACATTCTTACCATATTGTTTTGGAGTGTTTCTATGTTTTTCCTGTGTTCTTCAACTGCAGCCTGCATAGTCTCAACATCATGATGAACGCTGGTTAAGGTGCTACCTATGGTAGCTACGCTCTGAAAACAAAAACAGGAGCTGTATAATCTGAGCCAGGCCTGACTGTACAAGTTGAAAGCCCTTGACTTGAACGTCTTAATGGAATGCCAGACAGCCAGACTGCAAGACCTATGTGATGAACTGGGGGATTCCAGTTGCATGTATAGACCACAAGTCATTTTTTATACATAGTCTCAGGTCAAAACTTTTGATTCAACTCAGCATGACTGACAGAGCTTCTACCTCCACCTAGCAGATATTCTTCTGTTTCTATATGGGTAGCTTATAGGGATGTATAAAGGCATGAGAATCCTGAAGTACTGAAGATGTTCTTGGGCTATAAAACTCTACAATTAAGTAAAATTAGTGTGTAGGTTTGAGATCAGTATCTTGGCACTGGATAGCAACTACTAAGCTCTGCTTTTAAGACCCCTTGTTGCCCTTCTTCCACCATATCATCATCTCAGACACTATCAATGTTGTGATCCCCCCCACTTCCCTCTTTGCCAATAAACCTAGCAAATGCATGATGAAGGCTATGATTAATAACACTTGCTTGAAGGGTAAAAAATAAAAAGCATCACCTCCTGTGCAGCCCCTCATGCACAGGAAGAGCTGCCTGGTAACATCCCAAGCTAAGCCTACTCAGGAAAACTCAGTGGTTAGAAAGCAGATGCATTATGCTGACCAACTGCAGCTCAATATTTCCTTGGGCTCATTCCTGTGAATCCAATTCTTGCCTCTCACCTTAGGTATGCTTTGCAGGAATTGTTTTATCATGTGCTGAACTGCTTCTTGCATAACTGGGCCCTCCATCCAAGTAGGTGTATGCTCTCCAGCCATCCAACTATATACGTTCCATTTCACATGATCTCTCATCATTATTAGAACCATCCACATTCATTTTCTTAAGTCTCCTCTGATTCTTACTGCCCAACTCAATTAGGACAGAGCAGGCAAAGAACCTTCTTTACCACTTCCTTCCGTAAATCCCAACAAGTAGAAACAGACCCTCTTTCCACCCTGAAGAATGTCAGGACCCCAAGGTTAACGTTGCATCACCAGTGCTTTCACCACTTGCCATCAACCATAAAATCAGCCACTCTACAGAGGGAACTCTGCTAAAGAGTATTCTTCAGGCCTGCTGAACTCTGGAAAAAGAGCTCCTCCCTATTACCATCACAGACACCACTTACTGCAGAGGCAGCTTAAAATATTCCTAAATCCTAGTAAAGGGGTAATAGCCATTTCCTATAATGGAAGGCTAGCCTCAAGACAGAACATTAAGATCTCTACATGCAGTGTTTTCATAAGGCAGATAAGCGTCATTAGGTAAATGCAATATATTTATAAATAAAATATAAATAGTTGGAAAAATTGTTCTTTGCAAGCTTTTGGGTACAAACACCCTTCTTCAGGCAGTAGGCGAGCCTGCAGTTGTGTGCTGCAGCACAGGAGAGCAGAAAACACACAGCAGGTGAACGACACCAAGTTCAAAATTTCACCGCTTTACTGTCAAACCTAAGTGCTAGTAAAATATTTTTATTTAATCTCCTGTAATGTTTTTCCAGCACTTATCCTTTAATAAAAGTATAATGGATTCCCTGGAAGGGGTCCAGCTTTCCTTTCATAACAATGAGCGTATCAAGTTTAAGAATGAAAGCAAAATGACATCAGAAAATGGAAATGCATGCTGCTACTCCTAATGTCTCATCTTAGGATCAGAAATGGTTGGGCCTCAAGCCCCAAATTTTACAATATTGCCTTCAGGGTCTTTGGGCACATTTAGTTAAAGTCTAAGCTTGGTAGTTCCAACACAGAACTGCAGCTGTGCCATGCCATTCAAACTCAAAACAATACTGGCTGGTGGAACCCGTAGTTTTGCCATACAAGCCATAGTTTTGCACTACAGATGTCAGGGAAGCATTAGAAGAGGCATCAATCTTCTGTGTCCACCTTGGCACCTCTTGGGAAACTACTTGAGTTACCTCTGGTAGAGTTTTCTGTAGCTCTCCCACTTGCTGATTATGAATAGGTGGTGGCAAGCTAGAACTAGTTTTCTGTCCAACAGCCTAACTACATTCTGCTAGTTCTTCACCACACATCTGCTTGTTCACTGCATTCTCACCTCCTGTTCTCAAGACATGCCCACAGACCTCTAGCCCACTGAAGGTAGGCCCTTTGTGATAAGTCTATCTGTGCTTTTAGCTATAATATAGCTGAAGTATTGTAGCCATAACATAAATACTCCTTTTAGTAATAAATCGCTGAAGCAGACTTTGGAAAAAAAGTTGGGGCTCTTCTGTTCAAAGAACAAATGGGCTTCCTCATTTTGAGAATAACCTCAACTAAAGCATGAAATGCAGAAGACATTAAACTACTGCCCAGCCTCTGGCATGGATCTTTGAAAACTCCTGGCGCTCTGGTTTAGTGCCTGAAGACTGGAAGAAGGCCAATGTGGTGCCTACCTTCAAGAAAGGAAGGAAAGTGGATCCGGCTAACTATAGGCCCATCAGCCTGACTTCTATCCCGGGGACGGTCTTAGAAAAGTTTATTAAAGAGGCCACCCTTAATGGACTGGCCAATGCCAACATCCTAAGGGATAGCCAGCACGCATTTGTTGCGGGACGGTCTTGCTCGACTAATCTAATTTCCTTCTACGACCAGGTGATCTATCACCTGGACAAGGGAGAAGAGATTGATGTCATATATCTTGACTTCAAAAAAAGCCTTC